GCTTGGACCAGGATGGTGGCCGAGAGTTGGAGAGAAGTCAGTGGGTACATGTGAGGCATACAACCAGCAGGAGTGTAGAGCTGGAGCAGGGAGGGGCTTTGCTGAATGAGTGCCTGATGAACAGCTGGGGGGCCCAGCTCCCAGTCGCAGGCACTCCCCAGGGCTTGAAGAGAATGGGGATCCAAACAGGATGCTTCCTGGGGCAGGTGTTGGGGTGACGCACGTGGGACCAGCCGGGGGCGAGAGACGCAGAGGGGAAAAGCCTCGCTCCCTGTCCTCGGGAGCCCGTAGACGGATACTGAGAGAGGAGCAAAACCTCAGCCAAGGAACAGAGCTGGAGAACCCCCCCCCTTACTGGCCTGTGCAAGGGAGCGACTGAGGCAGAAAGAAGCACTTGCTGCCAGAAAAAACTCTTCCCTGCTGGCATCTGAGCTCCAGGAAGGCCACCACAGACAGTGGCACCTGCTGCGACTATGAGAAAGACATGCGCGGTGCGGTGCTGGAGGCTGGGAAGCTGCCGGTGGCCAGAGTGTGACCCCCCACCCCCTCTGGGTCCCACGCCGCAGGTGCTAGCTGAGCATGGCCAGCGCAGGTTCCTTCCTCACCTCTCAGTGGGAGCGGTGAGAGCCGCCGCCCCGCGGAGATGTGAGGAGGAAAGGAGAGAGAACATATGCAGAGCGCCCACCCGACGTCCCCAGCCTCCGTCACTTCCTCACTCCGGCTCACACCCCATTGCTGGGGCTAGTAGAGACCCCTGCTCCCGCCCAGAGAGTCATTCCACACAGAGATGGACCTAGGAGTTCAGAAAATTCCCAAGGCGATCCAGGGAAGCCACTATCGTAGATGCTAGATAAATTTCTCTGTTCTTTGCCTTAAGGTGGGGATGTCACTGGGCCCCAAGGGCGCAAGAGCACCAGGCTGGGGTGGTGGGGGGAGCGCCGCAAACAGACTAGGTAGGCCCCTCGCCGCTGACCAAACCCAAACGCAGAGGGGTGAGCGGGAGGTGAAACAAGAAAAGAATGAACTTCAGCGAGGCCACCACCCAGAAGATAGCAGACGAACATCTCAAAGACCGTCTCCAAGGGCTGAAAGCACTTCCAGGTTCATATAAGGAAAATGTGGGACAGGGGCGCCTGGGTGGCTTAGTTGGTTGGGCGTCCGACTTTCGCTTAGGTCATGATCTCGCGGTTCGTGGGTTCGAGCCCCGCGTCGGGCTCTGTGCTGACTGCCAGCTCAGAGCCTGGAGCCTGTTTCAGAATATGACACACACTCTATCTCTGACCCTCCCCTGCTCACGCTGTCTCTCTCTCTCTCTCTCTCTCTCCTAGAAATAAATAAAACATAAAAAAAAATTTTTTAAAAAGAAAATGTGGGACAAAGGTCGGGGGCACGTTCCGTTGGGCAGTGAAGGTCAGGTCAGTCACTGTCTTGGGGTCAGTCGCGTGGGTCTTGCTGATATCAAGGCAGTTCTGATTGCTTCGGGGGGTAGTTTTGGTCCTCATCACTGGAGGCTTTGCCAGTCAAGTCTTTTGCCTGAGCTAAGAGATAAGCTGGAAAGAAGAATTCGAATCAGTTAGAAAATACAGACTGAGGTCAGAATGGAGGAGGCTGAAAACCTCCGTCAGGGATTCTAACCCATTTCTGAGTCATGAATACCTTTGGCTGTCAAGTAAAGATTAGAGACTCTTCTCAGAATATTGCTTTAAAATGCACAAAATAGGGGCGCCTGGGTGGCTCAGTCAGTTAAACGTCCGACTCTTCACTTCGGCTCAGGTCACGATCTCACGATTCTTGAGTTCGAGCCCCGCTTCAAGCTCTGCAGCTCAGAGCCTGCCTAAGATTCTGTCTCCCTCTCTCTCTGCCCCTCCCTCTTGCTCCCTATCTCTCTCTCTCAAAATGAATTTAAAAATAAAATAAACTTTAAAATGCACAGAATAAGGGGCTCCTGGGTGGCTCAGTCGGTTAAGTGCCCGACTCTTGGTTTCGGCTCGGGTCATGATCTCACGGTTCGTGGCCTCGAGTCCCGTGTCGGGCTCTGCACTGATAGTGCGGAGCCTGCCTGGGGTCCTCTCTCCCTCTCTCTGCCGCTTCCCCATTCTCACGGTCTCTGTCTCTCTCAAGATAAATAAACACTTTTGAAAAATAAAATACAATGCACAAAACAAAATGCCTAGGATTATAAAGAAAACCAGTTACATTGGAATACAGTAATGAAAACCTGAAAAAACATTGCAACTCAGAAATGCATTAAGATCAAGTGTTGGCATAAGTACCATAATTTCAAAAACAGTGATGGATACAAGCAATATTTTGAGATACAGATCTGAGAGAACAGCGACAAGGGATCTGTGCACGTATCCGACGGCTGGGGGCCACGGTGGGGACTGTGACAAAGCCAGCAGCAATGCCACCAATGGCAGCACGGCTTTGCCGCCTCTGTTTGGAACCTCAGTTAGATGTTAGCTCCAAGATGAAATGCTTTTCCCTCAAACGCCTTGGAACTCCACGCCCCAGTTAAGAATCCTATGACCCAGGAAGGACAGGTCAGAAAATTATGCCACGTCTAGACAGGACTGCCCACAAAGGTAGGATGGAGACACAGAGCCGCGGCCACCAGGGCCACAGAAGGCTTCTGGATAGAACTCTGCAACCGCTTTTGGGTTTGATCCAGAGACACATAGACATTGGAAGAGGAGGAGGGGGACGAGGGGAAGATGTCAAGGGGTAGGGGAGCCGCCCGCTGAACACACTGGAGCTCCCTGGGGGAGGTTTCACTGTTAACATCTCTCTCTGCAGCACGGGAATAGGGTCTCAGAAGACCTATAGGGAAAGCGGGGCTCGAACTCACGAACCCTGAGAACATGACCTGAGCCGAAACCAAGAGTCAGATAGATGCTCAGTTGACTGAGCCACCCAGGCGCCCCAGGAAGGTCGTTCTGTTTGAATTCAGAGCCCCAGGGCAGCGCCATACACCCCACTAGTCACAGAGAACCTAAGGCCGGAAGACAGCCCACAAACTGTGAGGGACTGAGCTCAGGGTAGAAGGCGGAGGCTGAGGCTCAAGAGACAAATGGCCTGGCTTCATGACTTGCTCGCGCGCGACGCTGAGACATTGACTCCGTTTATTTGTGCCTTCGTTTCTTCATCCGTGGAATGGGAACGAGAGTTGTAACCTCACTGAGCAGCTAAATGTGACAGTCCTCTGACTGGAGTACCCAATGCTGGCACGGAAGAGTCCTGGGGCTTAGCGGCGCTTTCCTCTTGAATCAGCAGTGATCATCCACCCCAGCCCCCTCCTGTTCTCTGGCCAGAGAATTCCGAGTGGGTTGGGGGAGGGGGAACACCAGGGTGCAGAGGGGCTGGCCTGCCCTTAGCTCCCAGGGAGGATGAGCCACCTGCCCTGCAAGCCTTGCAGGAGAGGAAGTGCTTGGGGAACAGCAACTTCAGCAGAACGGGCCTCCAGCTGGGGGAGAAGGAGGGGCGGGTCTCTGGGCGAAGGTCAAGGTGGCTCCACCCCTGGGGCCCCAGAGTTCATGTCCTGGGTGAGGAGAGATGGTGGAAATTCCACAATGAGAAAGTGAGCCTGGCATCAGACCTGGCCCTGCGGCTGCGTGCTGTTCCGGTCGACGGGTGCCCCTTCCCTAGAACCCTGGGGAGCCGCCCTTGGAATTCTGCAATCTGCCTGGGTCTTCCTGGCTCTGCCACTCCCTAGTTCTGTGACCTTGACGAGCCCCTTAACCTCCTCAAGCTCCTCTGTAAACTTGGGACCACCACACCCATCTTAATGGCTGTTTGAGTTTCACGGAACCACAAATAGGAAATCACCCAGCTCCTAAAAGTGGCTCAATAAACAGCAGCTTCCTCTCCTCCCACCGCCCACCCCCCTGCCGGCTATACCACCACGGGCCCTTCCCAAACTTAGGGTACTAACAGGGGTGAGGACAGCCTGCACCAGGTGGAGAAAACAAGAGGGCCAGGGGCAGCTGAGACAGGTAAGAGAGGAGGGGCCTCCCAGCCACTGTCCCAGATCTCAGTCCCTTCCATCCCCTCTCAGAGCCGGTGCCCCGGAGGCAGGCGGGGTGGGGCGCTTGAGTGAGGCTTCCTTCTAGCTTATGATTCTCCTGCCCTTCCTCCGGTGGCCCCGTGACACTGGGGACCAACTGTCTGACTTCCCCTTCTGCTCCAGGTCCCCTCCCAGGTCTGAGGTGAGGCCCCCTCCAGACTTGGGGACCCTGTGGGAGAAAGGAGAGCCTCTGGTACCCAAAGACTTCTGAGACTATGACTCGGGGTTTACCGCCTCCCCTCCCCCAATTCCCTGCACAACTCAGGGATGGGGGGAACCTTTCATGTCTTCTATCCATGTGAATGGCACCCCCTGGAATTGTGCGATGCAGTGGTCATGCCGGGCTTGCTCCCACTGTTCGAAAACTTCCCAAGGATTTGGTCATTCAGAAAAGATTTGCTCCGAAGCCTGCTGGGTTCGGAGCTCTAAGCACCTAGATGCCATACGTAGAAGGAGCTCACCTTCTGGGAGAGGAAACAAACATTAATTACATTGTCATGCAAATATACTCTTACAGCCTCTGACAAAGCCAGGGAAGGCCAAGGTGCCAGGCGGGAGTCTACGCTGGCCAGGCCAGGCCCCCAGTCTCGTCTAGATTAGCCCCCATCTCATCCTGGGGAATCCTCACTTTGGCCCACTGTCAAAGGCTGGGTAGGGCCTGATACCCAAATCTAGCCCCTCCGGCCCCTCCAGCGTGGCTGGATCATACCGCCTAGCCTCCCCAAGGTCAACCACAAGGTGGTGAGCGCCTTGCTTTGTTTTTTTGTTTCCGTTTTGAAATGGGACCTTTGGACTCCGTTATCAATGACCGTGGGTTTCACACGCTCTCCCTCCGCTGTTACGAATGGCCTGTTTTCTCTGCGGGGCAGAAGGTGCCATGACTCTGGAACACAGGCCCGCCCCCGCAACAGGTCTGCCACCCCTCTCCCGCCCACAGGAAGCCTACTGTGCCTACTCCATCATCATCATGGCGCTCTTTTGGTGCACCGAGGCTCTGCCCCTGGCTGTCACCGCCCTCTTCCCCATCGTCCTGTACCCCACGATGGGCATAATGGATGCTTCCGAGGTAAGCCTCCCCTTTCATACCTCCAGTATGGAGGGGGTCTGCTCTAAAGCCCTGGCGTTGGAGAAAGACTCAGGGCACACAGAAGAGGGGTCCTCGCCTCTGCTTGGCAGGTCAGGGAGCACTCGAGGAGGAGTCAGCTAGAAGACGCAGGGGGGTGGGAGGGGGCGAGCTCTCTAGAAGCGCGTGGTTGGTGGTGAGAGTTAATTCAAAGTGGACCGGGTGTAGGCTGGGGGTTAGAAAGGCTTGGTGACTCAGGAAAAAGGGCCTTGAAAGTCAGCTAAAGAACTTGTGTTTTCTGGGTTCAGTGACTCTGAAACATGAACGAGCATCAGGATCACCTTCAGGGCTGATGAAAACAAGTTTCTGACTGAGTGGATCGGGGGCAGGGCCGGAGCATTTCAGTCCTAGCAAGCCCCAGGTTGGTGATGATGCCAGCTTACGGACCACACTTTGACAACCACGGCCATAGTTTCCAGAACCAGCACTAAATCCTCTAGCTCCTAGTCAACGGCTTGAAACATGAGTGGAATCACCCTAGATTATCTCGGACCCACTGCTGAGGGGAGAGAGAAGGAGTTTGGCAGGACGAGAGGAACCTGGTTAATATTAAGCGGAAGGTGATCCAAAGACCGTTTCCCTTTGGTTCCGAGAGCCCAGGGGACCAGCCTCTGTTTGCGGGAATGTCAGTGACGGTGGCTTGCGCCCAGGGGCACAAGGGGAGACCGCCTCCTGCCTCTCAGCTGTCCCTGTCCCCCAGGTGTGCATCGAGTACTTTAAGGACACCAACATCCTGTTCGTCGGGGGGTTGCTTGTGGCCATCGCTGTGGAGCACTGGAACTTGCACAAACGCATTGCCCTCCGCGTGCTCCTCATCATTGGCGTCCGGCCTGCCCTGTGAGTTCCCAGGACTGGGGACCCCGGAGCGGGTGGTGTGTGGGGTATCCAGTCCCTCCAGGGGCACGGGAACACCAGCCAGCGTGTCCATCTGTCTGTCCCTAGACTGCTGTTGGGCTTCATGTTGGTCACGGCCTTCCTGTCCATGTGGATCAGCAACACAGCCACCACGGCCATGATGGTGCCCATCGCGCACGCCGTTCTGGAACAGCTATACAAGACGCCCGCAAGCAAGAATGTAGAGGAGGGCAGCGACAACCCCACCTTTGAACTCCAGGAATCAAGTCCCCAGAAAGACGTGACCAAGCTTGGTGAGAAAGATGAGGCTCTACCCTGCCCGCCCCAACCCCCTGACCCTTGGGGAGGGTCTGGGGTGATGTCCACGACAGGGGTGGTCATCTTGGGGCCTCCAGGGTGAGAAAGGGAGGCAAGATGTACAGTGACCACCTTGTTCTGGTTTGCCCAAGGCTGTCCTAGTTTTATTATTATTACTTTTTTAATGTTTATTTATTTTTGAGAGAGAGAGAGCATGCATGAGCAGAGGAAGGGGGGTGTACAGAGGATCCGAAGCAGGCTCTGTGCTGACAGCAGAGAGCCCGATACGGGGCTCGAACTCACAAACCATGAGATCCTGACCCGAGCTGAAGTCAGATGCTTAACTGACTGAGCCACCCAGGCGTCCCAAGGCTGTCCTAGTTTTTAAAACAACAAGTCCCATGGGGCGCCTGGGTGGCTCGGTCAGTTGAGCGTCCAACTCTTGATTTCGGCTCAGGTCATGAGCCCAGGGTCGTGGGATCTCACAGCGAGTCAGGATCCACTGTGCATGGAGCCTGTTTGGGATTCTCTCACTTCCTCTCTCTCTGCCCCTCCCCCTGCTCGCACACTCTTTCAACATAAATAATAAACATTAAAAAAAATAAAATAATAAAACATTTTTTTCAGTCCCATGTTCTGGGGCACCTGGGTGCATCAGTCAGTTAAGCATCCGACCTCGGCTCAGGTCGCGACCTCACAGTTTGTGGGTTCGAGCCTCGAGTCGGACTCTGTGCCAACAGCTCAGAGCCTGGAACCTGCTTCGGAATCTGTGTCTCCCTCTCTCTCTGCCCCTCCCCCACCCGGACTCTGTCTCTCAAAAATGTATAAACGTTAAAGAAAAAAAAAAATCCCATGTTCTGAGAATCTCTTCAGTCCTGGGCAAACCAAGATGCTGGGTCACCACGGGAGGCAGAGAGCTACAGTCTGGGTCGGCCATCAGGGGTCCAGACTCCATTCACCCTGTGTGGTTTGGATAGTCCTTTTCCATTGTCTGTGTCTCTGTCTCCCTCTCTCAAGAGAGAGTTTGGGCCATATGGTGTCCGAGGGTCAACCCAGCCTGAGACTTCCTTGCAGAGTCTGTACAAGCCCTTGCAGACCTGGATGGGACCCCTGCCCGGGTCTAGGCTGTCTGCTGACAAGGCCCCTCAGAGGCAGCCATGCTCGCCTGCACCCACCCCCCACCGAAGCTCTCCCTTCTTCCCAGATAACGGGCAGGCCCACCCTGTTCCACCTGCGTCCTCAGCACCGAAGGTAGAGAAAGACAGACAGCAGATCCGGTTTAGCCAGGGCATGAGCCTGTGTGTGTGCTACGCAGCCAGCATCGGGGGCATTGCCACGCTCACCGGCACCACACCTAACCTGGTGCTGCAAGGCCAGGTCAACTCGTGAGTGACGTGGGCTGGGGGGGGGGGGGGGGGGGGGGGGGGGGGGGGGGGGGGAGGCAGGGGGGAGGACCCGCACTGCCCCCAGGAGGCAGCTGGGGCCTGGCGGTCCCCGGGCAATGTCACAGCAGCAGCCCATATCCCCCTTCAGGCTCTTCCCTCAAAACGGCAACGTGGTGAACTTCGCCTCCTGGTTTGGCTTTGCTTTCCCCACCATGGTCATCTTGCTGCTGCTTGCCTGGCTGTGGCTGCAGGTCCTCTTCCTGGGGTTCAAGTAAGTGGTGGACTGAGCAAAAGAAGCCCAGGCGCCCGCCCTTACCCTCTGGCAGCTTCTGGTTGGGTAACCAGGTCACCACTGTGGCAAAGGATAGAATCACCTCCCAAGACCTCTCTGTGCACCTGGCAACCCCCATTTGAGCCATTTACTGGGTGGAGAGTAAACCCCATTTAGCAGATGAGCAAACTGAGGCTCAAGGAGTGGTATACAGCTAGATTTGTCCGTGCTGTAGACAAAATGTCCATGCTGTAGGTTGAAAACCAGGTCTCCTGATGGCCAGACCTGATCCATCCCATAAAGCTCCACAGTCTGGTAAACGCTTAAGGAGCACACAGTGAACATGGCCAGTTGCAAAAGCATCTGTCGTGCTCTGCTTACATCTGGCCCCACACTAGGCACTGAGAATGCAAGAGGACATCAGGCACAGTCCTGTCCTTGGAGCTCACCATCTAATGGGTAATGGTATGGCAGGGGCCGTGACAGAGGGAAGTCCGGGAGCTGTAGGAACACGGCCCAGGATAGTGGAGATCCCAGAAGGCACTTGGAGGACACGCTGCCCAAAGTGAATATTGTAGAACTAGAAGCCAGCCAGGTAGAGAATGGGGTGAAGACATTCCAGGCAACAGGAACAGCCTGTACATAGGTTAGGTACTGAGGCGAGAAAGAGCACATGTTTGGAAAAACTCTAGTTCTGTTGGTTGAAATGTAAAGAGCAGAAAGGAATATTAGGAGCTGAAGTTGGAGAAGTAGGCAGGGGAAGATTATGGAGGACCCTGTGTGCAACATAAAGAGTTTGGACCTTGCCCTTGAGGCCAAGAGTAATAAATAGGCTTTATTCTTACCTCAAACCCTAGGTTACTGGTAGTGACTAGAAGTCTGAGTTGAAAATCTTGGGTCACCTTGGGGCGCCTGCGTGGCTCAGCTGGTTGAGCATCTGGCTTCGGCTCAGGTCATGATCTAGCGGTTTGTGATTTCGAACCCCATGTCAGGCTTGCTGCTGTCAGCCCGGGGCCGCAGAGCCCGCTTTGGATCCTCTGTCCCCCTCTCTCCACCCCTCCCCGACGTGTGCTTTCCCCAAAATAAATAAATATTAAAAAGAAAAGAAAAAAAGGAAAGGAAAGGAAGAGAAGAGAAGAGAGAAGGGAAGGGAAGGGAAGGGAAGGGAAGGGAAGGGAAGAGACGGAACAAAAGAAAATTTTGTGATTGTGAGACCTTGCTGGAGCTCAGTTGGAATTGAATCTGGGATTGACTGGTGATGTCTGCTACCAGTACAGGTTAGGAGTAGTGATATGAATGCTATTGTGGTATGACTTGTTATTTGCCATTCCTGCCTAGGTGGTGAGGGGGGAATGAAGGAGAGGGGACATTGAAAGTTGTTTTTTTTTTAATTTTTTAATGTTTATTTTTGAGAGAGAGGGAGAGAAACAGAATGCAAGCAGGGGAGGGGCAGAGAGAGAGGGAGACACAGAATCTGAAGCAAACTCCAGGCTCCCAGCTGTCAGCAAAGAACCCGAGGTGGGACTCGACCTCACGAACCAAGAGATCATGACTGAAGTCGGACGCTTAACCGACTGAGCCACACAGGCGCCCTGGAACATTGAAAGTTTTTAAGTAGTGTCTCTGTCCCTTGGAACATTCACTTGGGCAAGGTGCAAGGAGGCTGGATTGAAGCTGGGCGCTGGTACAGGCGAGGTGGGAGTCAAAGAGACCAGCATATGCAAGGCACCGTGGTGGATTCAAAGATGAGTGAAAAACACACAGTCCGTTGGGGAGCTGAGATTTGCCTAAGTGAAAAGTTAGAAGTCAACCTGAGTTAAGCGAGGGGCACACAGGAGTACATGGCAGCCTTCTGTGGCTCTAAGAATGATGTGGGGGGGGGGGGGGTCAGGCTGGCAGGAGGTGGATGCCCGGAAGCGAGTAGGAGAGGGAAGGGAGGATTTCCTGAAAGGCTGTTGGTAGAGGGGAGAGTGAGTTGGAGACAGAAGGAGCCATGGGATCCAGGCCTTTAGATCCATCTCACTCTGGGCAAAGGAGGGCTTAGCTCAAGAGAATCTCTGGAGGGACAGACACTCAATGGGGCAGATGGAGCAGGGCTGAGCATGGAGAAACCTTTCCCTGGAGTCCCAGGCTTGCTTCTGCTAAGAACCACGACTTCCTGAGAGTCTACTGCTCTTCTTCCAGCACGTTGGGTGGGTCCAAGGCCTTCATGTGGCAACCCCAAGGTGGTCTCTGTGGTATAACACAGGCACTCAGAGCCCCTCGCTCCCCTGCCTGGTGCAGGGCCCTCAAGAGCTGCCCCCACCCCTCTGCCTGCAGCTTCCTGAAGAACTTTGGCTTCAGCGGACAGGAGCAGAGCCAAGAGAGGGCAGCCTACCACGTCATCCAAACAGAACACAAGCTGCTGGGCCCCATGACCTTTGCCGAGAAGGCTGTCTCTGTCCTCTTTGTCACCTTGGTGGTGCTCTGGTTCACCCGGGAGCCCGGATTTTTCCTTGGCTGGGGCAACCTGGCTTTTCCCAATGAGGATGGGACAAGGTGAGCATTCCTGGGGAGACAGGGACTCCTTCCGGGGTTCGCTTGGCTAAGGGAAGAGAGAAGGACGCAGGGCCCCCTGGTGCAGACCAGGAGGTAACACAGGTGGGGAGGACTCGTTGAGAGGACTTGGCACCCCTGTGGGAGGGGGTTCGTCTCCACCACCATTCCACCCTATGAGCCCTAGCAGACCTGAGCCACTAAGCCTGCCCTCCTTGCCCCGCTCACAGCATGGTGTCCGATGGGACAGTGGCCATCTTCATTGGCATAATTATGTTCTTGGTGCCCTCCAAGATCCCGGGGCTGACTCAGGATCCAGGTAAGAGCCTGGACGGGGGCAGGGAAGGGGCTCCGGGCAGTACCTGCCTTCTGGCATGGAATGTGCCTTCGACCACACTTGACAGGAGTGATAAAAGCCCAGAGAGGTTGGGATGATTTGACTAAGGTGTAGGGGCTCAGGGCCAAAGTAAGGAGGTTGCCGAACTGAGGGCCCCTCTCGCACATGCATTCGACTCAGATAGGGACCCAAGTGGAGGGGAGGGGAAATCTCTTGGCCCTTGGTGACCCATCCTCCTCTGCCTGGGAAATAGAAAAACCAGGGAGGCTGAAGGCCCCTCCCGCCCTCCTCAACTGGAAGACAGTGAATGAGAAGATGCCTTGGAATATCGTACTCCTGCTGGGTGGTGGCTTTGCCCTGGCCAAGGCCAGTGAGGTGAGAACCCCTGCCCTCTCCCCGGACTGTTTGAGGGACACCCTGTGGCAGGGAAAGAGGTGCCCTGCTTCCATCCCACACAGGGGAGACCTGATCCCCACTAAGGAGCCTCCTTGTGGGCAGAGCCTTTGCACCAGCTGGAGAGACAGGTTGGAGCCTGGCTATAAGAAAGGGCAGGAGGGGCGCCTGGATGGCTCAGTCAGTTAAGAGGGGGCAGGAACACAAGCCACAGGTACCTCTCGCTGTTCAGGTTCTCAAAGCCAAAGGGAAGAGCGACCCCCCTCTGCCAGACAGAATGCAATAGCTTTAGCACCAAGTAGACTAGTGAGCATTGAGTCGACGCCATTGACCCGCGAGGGCCACCAGGGGGCGCCATGATCACACCCAGCCGGGCTTTGGGGATCAGGCCATCCTTCATTTCCAAGAGGAAAATCTCTGAACCTGCACCCCTGGGCCTCAGCGTTCTGGCCAGGCTCATTCAGTGCACAGACAGGAGGCAGCTTCCTCGGGTCAGGGACTGGTGCCAAGGACTCACCCATCAAGTATTCACTGACAGTGCCAAGCGCTGTGCTGGGGGCTGGGTTGGCAGCACTGGATGAGATGAAGTCCCGGCTCCCTGGGACTCACTGTCTGGTGTTACAGATGTGGACAGGGAAAGACCCTGGAGCCCTGATGACTCTGGACTATCCCCATTCTCCTGTCAGCCTCTGGCCCAGCCTCTACCCACCCCTTCTCTCTCCTGGGCTGAAGGAGGCAGGCAGAGGGCTGAGGATGGCCAGGGAGCTCCCAAGAGAGGTTTGGGAGAGCAGGAGCAAATGGAGTTGAAGGTCTTTCCTCCCACCGGGCCCCAGGTTCCCCGAGAAAGCCCTTTGGCCCCCTCTCTGAGCTTCTCATCTGACCCTTCTCCCCACATCCAGATGTTCTTCAAAATCACTTTGAGGGGACCTCCTGGTTCTCTCTGGGTCTCACCTTCCTTCCCAAGCTGCCCTTACTCTGAAGATTCTAGAGAGATATAAGCAGGAACAGGCCCCTCCCAGAGCCTCGGCAGGGGACTCTGGAGCCCCAGGAACCTCCACCTCTCACACACTATCCTCCTCTGTCCACAGAAATCAGGACTGTCCGAGTGGCTGGGGGACAAGCTAACCCCGCTACAGAATGTGCCACCTCCCGCCATTGCCTTCATCCTCTGCCTGCTGATTGCCACCTTCACTGAGTGCACCAGCAACGTGGCCACCACCACACTTTTCCTGCCCATTCTGGCCTCCATGGTGAGCTGGTCCTGCAGGCACACTTCCTCCAGGCAGCCCTCCTGCCTGTCCCCTGAGCTTCCACCCTTCTCCAGACCCTTCAGCTACCTCAGGCCCCAAGGCCCTCTGGCCCCTGACTCACTTCATCCCTGGTGACGTCACCCTTTGAGTATCCTAATGGGCCTCACCGGTGGCCTCGCCCACCTCCGTGGCCCAGCCCCTGTTCTGGTCAGTCCTGAGGTGACAGGTTGAAATTACTCCCTGGAGCGTCCCCAGCCCCTTCCTCCCCTGGCGCGTTCCCGCAGCCTTTGATGACACCCCAGAGCCCTTTTGAGATCCGTTTTATGGGCCCCTCCCCTCACCACGCCCCGCTGGGCAGGGCCACACACTCATCCCCTCCAGAGAGGTCAAGGGGCCCTTCCCAGGTCACCAGTGCCTTCTGACAGAAGTGGTGGGGTTCATGGTCAGAGTCTATGTTTGTTGGGGGGGGTAGGGAAGGCTGTCCCCCAGACAGAGGAAGTGGGCAAACTGGGGGCCCTGTCTTCCTCTCTGGGAAGAGGACTGGGATCAGTTCTGCCCCCCTGTCTCTCCATCCAGGCTCAGGCCATCTGCCTCCACCCTCTCTACGTCATGCTCCCCTGCACGCTCTCTGCCTCCCTGGCCTTCATGCTGCCTGTGGCCACCCCCCCCAATGCCATAGTCTTCTCTTATGGAGGCCTCAAAGTGTCTGATATGGTGAGTAGCAGCGGGACCTGAATGGTTCAGTGCTCCTTCCTGCTCCGTCCACCCTTCTTGGTGCGCCACGAAGAGGCTTAAAGCCGCCGAGATTCTCAGAGTTAAGAGTGAAGCCTGTTGGGCGGGGGGGGCACGATGCCCAGTTGGAGCATCTTCAGACCCTGCCAACCACGTGAGGGGGAGTAGATGGGGAAGGGAATTCAGGGGAGGCTCTCAGGTGCCAGGGCACCTGTACCCAGGGAGAAGGACCCGGCGAGAACAAAGCCCGAGGCCCTGAGCGCTCAGAAAGGGCGTCCTTTTCCCTCCTTAGCACTGGGATTAAAGCAAGAGGGAGTGGGCACGGCCTAGCGCTGCGGGTCTGACCCACAGGAAGACTTCCCAGAGAGAGTTCTGCTCGTCAGAGGGCTCCTGAGCATCCCTAAGGGCTAGGTGCCGGCCCAGCTCGGCAGCCGGTCACTCAGACGGGCTCTCCTCCCGCCAGGCGCGCGCAGGGTTCTTGCTCAACATCATCGGCGTGCTGGTCATCACGCTGGCCATCAACAGCTGGAGCTTCCCCATCTTCAGCCTGCACACCTTCCCCTCCTGGGCCTACTCCAACGCCACAGCCCACTGCATTGCCAGCCAGGCAAACACCACAACACCTCTCCCCTAGACCAGGGTGTCGTCCGGCTGAGCCCAGAAAGGCCCACCTGTTTGCATGCCTCTGAGCCAGGACGGGACACCCAGGCTCTGAGCCCAGTACGGAGAGAAAGGCACATATATGTGGAACCTTGTGTGTGTGTGTGTGTGTGTGTGTGTGTGTGTAAGGAAGGGGTGTGTGTGTCTGTAAGGATGGGGGGGAGGTATCTGTAAGGAAGGGGGGGTGTGGACGGGAGGAAAGTGTGTATATATATGTATGTATGTGAGTGTGTCGCGTGAGAGGCCTGAGAGGGGGTTTCTTGTGTGTGCTCGCGATCCTGGGTGTCTGCTTGACAGTGCGCATGTGTGAGCTCACGGACCACACAACCTGTCCTCTCCAGCACTCCGGGTCCTCGTCTCCCCAGCTGGGTGGGTGCCCAGACCCCCTTTGCACTGTATTTATTGAAACTCGGGGTTAGGGTAGCCTGGGAAGCGGGGGGGGGGGGGGGGGGGGCCAGCAGTTGCCATGGCAACAGCCTCTGGGACCAGCCCAGCTACTGAGGTCTCCCCAGCCTCTCAGGTTTGGGANTGTGAGCTCACGGACCACACAACCTGTCCTCTCCAGCACTCCGGGTCCTCGTCTCCCCAGCTGGGTGGGTGCCCAGACCCCCTTTGCACTGTATTGGGGGGGGGGGGGGGGGGGGGGGGGGGGGGGGGCGGGGGGGGCGGGGGTACCAGCAGTTGCCATGGCAACAGCCTCTGGGACCAGCCCAGCTACTGAGGTCTCCCCAGCCTCTCAGGTTTGGGAGGAGGGTTGGGATATTAGCCCCATTAAAGCCTTTTGCAGTAGAGTCCGGGCTGGTTTTTCACGGCGGTTTCCAGGGCTGGTCCACAGCATGGTTCAGGGCCCAGATTGAAGAGTACGGGGGGAGGGGACTTGGCCTCGGTCCTGTATGGTGGCCCCCTTGTCACCCCTCCCCCTCACGGGAGAAGGTAATGGCCAGGAACCCTTGCCAAGGCCGGCTGGAGTGGGCGCAGCCACCCAGGAAAGCAGCACTGACATCACCAGCCCCGGCTAATTGGGAGCGGCCAGTCCCTGCGTGTCTTTGGAGAAACTGGCCTCCCCGTTCCCAGAGCACTCCCTGGCCATTTACATAAAACTGTCTGCCTCTGCCAATTCCTCCCCGACCCTTCCTCCAGCTTGAAAAACCAGTCCCACTAGACCAGGGGAGGCAGACTGACCCACGCTAGGTGTCCAGAAAGACGGACCCTCACCCAGAAAGGCAGCCCGCAGCGAGAAGGATGCAAGCCCGACTCACGGGAACAGGGTCGAAACGGGCATGGCCTTCGGAGTGCAGGACCAGGCAGCACTCTGGACCATTCTGCCTCCCTGCTCCCCCTCTGCTCCCCCACCTTCATGAACTCCAGACTCTTCCTTCATCTGGCAAGGTGGGGGGAAGGGCGGGGAAGGGTGATGCCACACCCACCATCCATTCTAGGAACTCAACGTCTCCTCCTGGGGCTGGAAACTCATCTTCGTTTCAGTCCCATGTCTCTCACCGTGGACAGTGGCGTGTAAGCCTTGAGTTCATCTGGGTGGCAGTTTCCAAAAGTCTCATCCAGTTGTCTCCCGCTGCAGTGGGAAGACAAAAGAGATATTTACCGTCACTCTCATGCCCACTAACCGAGGGGGCTGGTTTGTGAAGACAGAAAACCAGAAAGGCTTCAATTCTGGATTCCCCCTCGGCCGGGCCGTCACTCAGTCCTCCCTGAGCAGGAGGGTCGAGGTGCGGAGGGGAGGGGGCTGCCGCGTGTGGGAGAACGTGGCTGTCCGCAGGGGACAGGAGATCCTGACAGGACATGCCAGACACCCCAGCAGAGTGAGGAGTGTCAGGCAAGTGCTCCGCCCCCACCCCAGCCCCCAGGCTGGCATTCCTCACCCATGAAGCACAGTCGTGAATCACGGCTTTCCCCCAGACCAGCACCAGGACCCCCCAAGGCCCAAGGCAGCAGCACCCCCCAACTGGGACTGGGCCAACCCCTCCAGAATGGTGGGATTTTTCCAGGGGCTTACCCACAATGCAACGGGTTCTTAAGGAGCAGCGCCGGCCTCATCCGCAAGGAAGACCGTCTCCTACGCTTTCTTCTGGATCCTAGTTGGGTACCCACAATCCAACCCTAGCTGGGGAAGAGGTAGGTGTGCTTCTCAGGGGCTCCCTGCCCCCACCCGCTGTTCTCAGCTTTCCTACATACCCAGATCCCCCTCAGTCCTGCTCAGAGAGGGCCAGATGGGGACTGAGGGCACACAGCGGTCCCAGCAGAGGAGGACCAGGCTGACCCTGAGTTCTCTGGGGATGAGGTGGGCAAAGGCTGGCCTGACGGCTGACGGGTCAGTGGCAGGTGACCTGGCAGAGCTCGGGGCAGGCATCCCCCAAATGCTCAGAAACCGTCTTTCCCAGCAGGCGGGAGGGCGGACAGGAGGCAGGGAGCACCTGTCGGCCTAATCACCGTCATTAGCTGGGCAATAAAGTGGCACGGACCAGGCCAGCCTTTGAAGGAAGGGCCTGTCAGCCCAGGTCCGGTTTGCGCAGGCAGCCTGACAGCTCATCTCCTCCGGCACACACTCAGGCTGTGGCAGGTGGATGGGGCGGCGCGGGGGCTAGGGTCTGCCCCCCTCTCCGCCTGGGCGCCCGCACCTTCTCCCATTGCTTCCAGAGAGGTGGGGGGCGGGGGGCTCTGGGTGTCTCCTAGACGCTGAATTTGCACCGTGCTGGGACTCAAGAACTTCAGTGGTAGTGAGCTCGCTGTTGCTGGAGAAGATGAATGAGCCCGGGAACAACCTAAGGAGAGCCTGCCTCATGCAGCTGTGTCCCCAATTCCCAGCACAGGGCCCGGCCCAGTGACTGTTGTATGAATGAACGCTTCCGAGGTGGGGGGGGGGGTCGGGGGGCGCTGCTTCTTGCTCCCAGAGGGAAGTCGGACAGGCTGCCCTCAAAGCCCCTTTCTAGTGTGTGAAGTGCTTGCTGTGTGACCCTGAGCCAGTGTCACCGTTAAGCTCAGCAGATAGGTCCAGATTTCTGAGCCATAGCCTACTGTTTCCTCTGCCCCTGTCCCCTAGGGGTGTCCTGTTTGCCTCACCCCTCCTCCTGCAGGCCAGCCCCAACCCAGAGGCAGCTGGCAGCCGGAGAATCCAGGGAAGACCTATGGGGCGAGGTTTTCAACGAGAAGCCTGGCAGGGTGGAAAGGAGGCACTAGTTAAGGAGATGGAGAAGGTGGAAGGAGGGTCGTTGATCCCCCTCTCTGGGTTCATCTTGACTCGAAGATGGTCAAGGTCAGAAGCAGCTCTGGGGGTTAGGGTCCTCAAATCCAGAATGAGGCCCCTTGGGGGCTCAGGCCATGACTTCTCTGTCTCCCCAAAATCTCGGACGGGAGGCTGCTTCCTGAAGAGGGGAGGGGTGAGCTGCGTAGGATGGAGGGTGGAGCAGCCAGGGGGTGCAGGGGGAGGGGTGGGGGAAGACAGGGATGGGTGAGGTTCTGGGGGTGCCAGCCTGAAGACAGTGCTGCATGCAGCCTCCGCCCCAGTCTGGGCCCCATTAGTCACGATCAGCAGAGCCATGAGGTTTTACTAGGGGCAGCCGTCAAAAATGAGCCCTCAACTTCAGGGAGGGGGGGCGGGGAGGAGGGGACAGTCAGGGGAAGAGGATGGAGCAGCCTGATTAGAAAGATCAGGACGGGGATGGAGAACAGCTGCTCTTGAGGGTGGGCAGACCCACATACATGTAGATGCCGAGCCGCAGATCCTTACACACGGAGCAGCTCACAGACACGAGCATGGGCAGGGGCACACAGACTCATGTGTGCAGAGTTACTCAGCCCTTCAGATGCCCAGTCGCTGCCAGAAACACACACACAGACCCCGTCGCAGACATCTATCTGTACACAGACACACACGGCCGCTCAGGCACCCGCATAAACACAGATGCTGGTGCATAGAGCGTCAGACCCGAGTGTTCTCACAAGTACGCAGATGTTCACAGGCATCAGGACACACTTCCCGGCACGGATGCGCCCAGCATGACGGTATACTCCACAGACCTCACGCACACTCAGAGTGGCTCCTGTGAGCATGAGCACGGAAATGTAAATACTTGCACACTTGCACGAAGGGACTCCTGCACTTCCAGACACTGATGTTGGCGAACGCACGCGCGTGCGCGCACACACACACACACACACACACACACCCTGGCATTACTCCTCTCCACCTCCCCAACCTTGTCTCCTAAAGCAGGAGGGATTAAGACCAGCCAGGAGAAGCCTGTCCTGCTCACCTAGCAGGACTCTAGCTGGGTCCCTCCCTTCCAAACCCCCCCACCAAGCTCTCAGCTTGGAAACTCCCTGAATTTCCCAGAGGGTCAGCCAACCAGAACAGGCTCAGACCTCCCAACCTGGTGTCCCCGCCACACATCCTCCACAACTCTGGCCAGTGTTCCTCTGCCACCCACGGCCAAGGAGCTGCCTACTCTCCCCTAGGAAGCCCATCTGGATTAACCCCAGATCTCTCCGTCCCTTCTTTGACATGGGGTCCTCTGGCCTCAGAGCCTCAGTTCCGCTGCAGATGTTCGTAAATGTCTTCCGCACCAAAAGGGTGAGACTTGGAAGGCCTGGGAAGTGACAGGCTCGGTCTCAGGAACCCATTTTGGGGAGACAAGTCCAGCTCACATGAACAGAAGTGGACAGAAGATGGCTAGTCCTGATGCAGGATGCAGGGAGGGGGCCCCTCCTCCATCACACTAGGGCCTCCGAGGGTGGAAACATGCTCTTCCTTCTCCCTGGGGTCACCAGAGTCTTGCATGAGCCTGGAGCATGGCAGACATTGGCCCCAGGGGGTTCCATCCCCAGTTAGGGCTGCTACAGGCTCAAAGCAGCCCAGCCCGGGGCAGAGCTCAGCAGCAGGCAGTGATCTAATTCTGACCTCCAGTCTCCAGAGAGAATAAGAGCTTCCCCTGGCCCCTGTCTGTTTAAAGTTTATTT